GCCCCATGGACAGGCCTTCCAGCGTCCAGCTGAGACCCCGACTAGCTCTCCGGATTCCTTTGTGAGAGTGTCTCTGCATATCTGTAGGCTGCAGGCAGGAACGGATCATCAAAGCAATCTTTCCCAGAGCCATTCTCCTGGAGGAGCACGTGAAGCGAACTGCCACTACTGAGCATGGGGTGCTTATCTCTTCAACCTAGGTCTTGCAGTGGTGTTAACACACTGCTGATCATCACAAGTTACAGGCAACATGGATAGTTTCTGCATAAAATTACTAGTCAGCAATGTCTTAAAGCAACAGGGCCAACAAGGAGCTGACAACTATAGCTGAGTGTTTTGTTTTGTTTTGTTTTTTGAGACAGTCTCAAGCTGTCACCCTAGGTAGAGTACCCTGGTGTCACAGCTCACAGCAACCTCAAACTCTTGGGCGTAAGCGATTCTTTTGCCTTAGCCTCCCAAGTAGCTAGGATTACAGGCGCCCGCCACAACGCCTGGCTATTTTTTGGTTGCAGCCATTACTGTTGTTTGGCGGGCCCGGGCTGGATTCGAACCCGCCACCTTAGTTGTATGTGGCTGGCACCTTAGCCGCTTGAGCCACAGGCGTCAAGCTGACAATGCTTTTTCAAACAGCCTAGTAAAGGGAAAGAGCACTGGACTTAGGGTCAGGACCTAGGTTTAACTCTTAGCTCCATCAGTGACAAGTATGACTGTGGGCAAGTCCACCTCTGGGATGGAATGTCGTCAGCTACAAAATGGAGATGCCTTCTACTCTACAAAGTTTTACTTGGTTGGTTTTGTTCTGTTTGTGGACTTAAGAAGATAGCACATTTAAAAAGAACTTACAAGTTCTTGGCCCATGACAGGCACTTAACACATTTTTCTGCTATTTTATCTTGAACTTCTAGGAAATACCATGCAAGAGCTCCCCAGGTCTGAGAGAAAACCACTGAGTAAGGCCCCTGGGCTCAGAAAAACTTCCCAAAATACTCAGAAATGATCCACAAGAAGAGTTTTCTGGGTTTAGAACAAAACAAATTCATATTTTGAATTCTGATGAAATCCAGAAGACTACTTCTAGGAGCCTACCTCAGATCATAAAAACTTCTACAGCCCAAAAGACTCAAAGCTCAGAAGCCACAGGGAAAGATGCCCACACCAGTGACTGGAGTACAAGAGCAAGTTCTGCAATGGAACAGTGGAAGCGACATCGCCACAGCCATAGACGGAAGCATTCCTGCACCTAACTTTTATGAGAGTGACGTCTACAGGAGGGAATGTCTAAATAAAAGAGAAAGCATGCCCCATTATGAGCCAGATGGCTTGAGTTCTGACACTTAGGGGGAAAAAAAAAAAAAGGAAACAAGGTTTCAGTGACAAGAGGAAAAAAAAATTAAAAAGTTTATTTTATGATAAGTATTATTTAAAGTAGAAGAAGTCCACAAAAGGATTCTCAATCAAGAATAACATATTCGGAATCTGGCTGGAATGCAACAAGGAAAAACCAACATTTCCCAATCTGCTCTTGACATTTATTCTGTGTCCCTGTGATCTCCTTCCTTGTATGTAGTAATAGTCTGGAATACAAATACCAGCAAACTAGCTTGTGTATCAATATACCACTATTCTGCTTTCTTTTTCTTTTTTGCTTATGTTTAACACAAGAAAGAAAGAACTGAGTGGAAGAGGAACAGTAAAAAACACACCAGTGTTCTGAATTTATAGCAGATAGTAATAATCAACCATGGCCTTCTTCCTCCCATGCTCAGAACTTGGTCTTAGAATTCCTGTCCTCACAGTTTTCTAGGCTGCCATCACCAGACGACTACAATTTACACCTTAGAGAAAACCCAACTGAAACTCTTAGTTTAAGGCCTGCATTATTCATATAGTTGTAATAAGGTACTTAGACCTTTACAAAAATAGTCAAAAGAGAAAACCATCCTGGGTGAGGTTAGTAAAGGGTAAGCAGAGCTGTCTGAATCACTTACCATTAGCGGGAAGGGAAAAAATAAGAGAGAGCGAGCGAGATAAAGCTAACCAGATAAATAACTGCAAACCCCCAAGCTTTCTATAGCAGTTGCCAAAACAGGAAATTTACTTCCATTGGTCTGATGAACAACCACAGACTCTAACAGATTATGACCAGGAAGACAGGCTGAATAACAATAACCAAAAAATTAGCAAAATATACATAAAATCTTCCTTATTTTCCACTGTCAGACATGTAATGAAGATATTTTTGTTTCACATCTTTTAAAATTCTGAATAAAAAGACAGCTTACCATAGTCAGATGTTGCTCATTTACCAAATAAAGTAATAAAGAGCTATTTAATTTTTTAAAAAACTTTTGTAAGGCAGCTTTACAAGTACACCTAAGTGCTACCAAGAGCCTCATGGTTAGAATAAAATGAAGATGCTAAAAATATTACAGAAGGACATACATTGACACAGAAAGGTACTCATGACGTTAATTTACAACGTGGGTTACAAAAAAGAATATGCACAATGAGCCAGTTTTTGTGTATTTTAGAAAGTCTAAAGAAATAAAGACTGCTTGTTAATATTTCAGTATAATCTGTGGGCATGTGCAATTTTAACTAATTTTTAGTTTCTTCCTTTTGCTTCTCTGTATTTCCTAACAATACAGTATTAAACTGATATTATTAGATAAATTAATTTTTCCTTTTTTTTGGTTTATTGTGTCTTGCTTTGTTCTTTTGAGACAAGATCTCACTCTGTCGCTCAGGAGTGCAACAATGTCATCACAGCTCACTGCAGCCTCAAACTCCTGGGCTCAAGTGATCCTCTTATCTCAGCCTCCCAAATAGCTGGGACAACAGGAATGTGCTACCATGCCTTTTTTTTTTTTTTTAAATAGAAAGAGGTCTCACTCTTGCTGTAACTGGTCTCATACTCCTGACCTTAAGTGATCCTCCCATCTCAGCCTCCCAAAGAGCTAAGGTTATAGGCATGAACTACCACACCCAGCCTAATAATTTGCTCTTTTAATATATGTACAGTGATCAGAAAGACTTAAGGAACCAAGCACGGGCCCTCCAGAAGCTCTGTGTTCAGATTTACCTCTCTAGCCACAGCTGATTCCCCATGGCTGGGTAACTGGAAGGTCCTATCCAATAACCTGAGGACCCCTGCTATATCTTCACACCTTCCCCACTTATAACTCATAAACCTATACTGTTAGCAAACTATTCCTGGATATAGACCAGGGCATCTCAAAAATCTTAAAAGAGTATTGTGTATTAAACACTGTGCTGGAAGTTCCAGCCAGCGTAATCAGGCAAGAAAAATAAACTACAGGCATTTAAATTATAAAGAAAGAAGTAAAACTATCTCTGCTGCAGATGACATAACCTAGTATGTACAAAATCCTAATGAACCCACCAAAAAAACTACTCAAGCTAATAAATACAGCAGGACATAAGCTCAACCCACAAAAATGTAAGTTATATTTCTATATGCTAGCAATGAACCATCCAAAAAGAAACTAAAGACGACATTCCATTTATAAGAGCATTAAACAGAATAACGAATACATTAAACCAAAGAGGTATAAGACTTTACACTAAAAAGTACAAAACACTGGTGAAGGAAATTAAGAATAAGTAATGGAAAATGCATCCTGTGCTCACAAACAGGAAGGTTTGGAGTTTTTAATACTATAAAGATGGCAATACTCCTCAAAGTCATCTACAGTTCAGTGACATCTTCATCAAAATACCAATACTCTTTTTTGCAAAAACAGAAAAGCTGATAGTAAAATGCATGTGGAAATGCTAACCAAAATAGCCAAAACAACCTTAAAAAGATTAAAGTTGGAAAACTCACACCTCTCATTTTCAAAAATTAACTACAAACTACGGCAATTAAAACAATGTGGTAAATGGCATAAGGACAGACATACAGTGGAACAGAAGTCCAGAAATGAACTTCTACATCTATGATTAACTGATTTTTGACAAGGGTATCAAGACCATGCAATGGAAAAACAAAGTCTCTCCAACAAACACTGCCGGAGAACTGGACATCCACACGTGTGGGGCCTTCGGGATCCTTGAATACAGCCTTTTGATTGAACCCCAATTTTACAGAATAAACCCTTTTAAATAAGATACCAGAAGATACCCCATTACCCACTAGATTGGCCATTATCAAAAAATGACCTTGTTGGCAAGGATATGGAGAGAATAAAATCTTCATACATTGCTGGTGGGAATGTAAAATGGTGCAGTTGCTGTGGCAGACAGTCTGGCAGTTCCTTAAAAAGTTAAACATAGAATTACCAGATGACCCGGTAATTCCACTCCTAGGTAAATACCCAAAAGAATTTTAAAAAGGTATTTAAACAAATACTTGTACATAAATGTTCAGAGCAGCACTATTCCCAATAGTCAAAAGGGGGAATAACCTAAACATCCATCAACTGATGAAAGGACAAACAAAATGTGGCATATTCTTACAATGGAATATTATAAAAAAGCCACAAAAAGGAATGAAGTACTAATACGCATACAGGGTTTCCTCTGGGGTTGACAAAAACGTCTTAGAATAAAACAGAGGTGTTGGTTGCACAACACTGTGGGTGTACTAGATACCATTTTTAAGAGGTTATTAGTTAACTTTATGTTTTATGAATTACACATTAATTTAAAAAAATACAAAAAAAGGGCAGCGCCTGTGGCTCAAAGGAGTAGGGCACCAGCCCCATATACCAGAGGTGGTACGTTCAAACCCGGCCCCGGCCAAAACCTGCCAAAAAAAAAAAAAGAGAGAGAGAGAGAGCATGAACTAACAACCTAAGATTTTTTTAAACAAATTTATTTCCTGTTTGGAAACCAGTACAGGTTGTTAAATAGATTCAAAGCTGTTTCATTAAACAAAACAAATAAACAAAAAAAGCTGTTTCATCATAGCATTTTTTATAAAGCTAATCTTCAAAATACTTCAAAGAGTAATGTTAAGAGAATGCCCTATTTCTTACCAGAAGCTTCTTTTCCATTCTGTTTTTCATAGAGGGTGCCCACAGACATCAGAAAAACAATAACCAGGAATACTGGAATTCTCCATGAGCCAGCCAGGGACGCTGTAAATTATTAAGAATTTACATTTTATTTCATTTTTAGTGAAATAAAAACCTAATTCATGTTTTTAAATGACTCAGATTTGTAGACTGATACAACAATCCAGTATATATATTAATTACACAATTATTTCACAAGGAAAAAAAATTTTTTAAAGCCATCAGACAGATGAAACTTCAATTCAGGATTTCTCAAGTAAGTTCACCCATGCTCTCAAGAGTGTCAAGCTTGTGGCAACCTGGGAACTGGCCAGTATGTGGCAGCCTTACTGCAAGGCACTTGTATTGCCTAAGGAATTGAGTCCTTTCCAGCGCACATCCGGGGCTTAAGATCATCCCAAACTCAAACCAACTATTAGACCCAGGGATAATCAGAATCAGGCACAGATTCTACAGTTGTGAAGTCTGACTTGATTTCCTAAAACACCATTGTGTGTGAACTCTCTGAAGAAAGGGTACAATGGCCTAAAAGAGCACAGCAAAAGCTTCAGTGTTTCCTCCTCAGTATACAGTACAGTGCAAACATGTTAATAACTTGCCAAAGAGCAGGTCCTTAACCATAAATATTTGCATTTCCCTGAGTCTATCTAAAGCCTCACGGGCATACCTGCCTGCCTTCCTCTTCTGCCTTCCCCAAATTCAAAATGAGTCATATGAGACAGTAGGGGATCTTGTAGATAAAATCCTCTACAATTCCAACTCAGCAAAGCTAGAGAGTCTGACGTGAGACTCTAAACCAGTGGTTCTCAACCTTTCTAATGCCGCGACCCTTTAATACAGTTCCTCATGTTATTGTGACCCCCAACCATGGCGCAACTCTTTAATACATTTCCTCATGTATTAAAGGGTCGTGGCATTAGGAAGGTTTAGAACCACTGCAACAGAGGCAAAATGTTTTTTTATTTTATTTTTAATGACAAGTAGCTCTAAAAACTACTTTAAATAAGCTATCTACTGCCCTGGGTTACTGAATTTTGTTTTTAAATTAGAACTTATTGTTTCCATGGTCTTAGACTTGGAGATGAGAGTCTCAACCATATATACCCTGCTGGGAAAAAAAAAAAAAATCACTCATCATCCTAGCAGCCAACGGTTTCACATAACAGGGAATTCATTACTCCAAAAGGCTCTGACATGGATCTTCCTTATGCTGAATAGAGATCTCTCTCTGAAGCTACTTAGTACTCTGACATCTGTCCCTCAGATTACAGAGATTTGTTTAAACATGATTACAGAGATCTGTCAGAGGACAGTCCTTCAAATATTAGAAATAGGCTTTCGTATTTTACACCCTCCTTACCGTCACCTCGCCACCCCTACAGCACCTGTCCTCTCCTTTTATCCGAGGTAACTATCCTCTCTAGTTCCTCTACCTGGTTTTCACTCACGGTTTTGAGCATCTCTTATTACCTCTGACTGCTTACCTACACCTTCCCTAAGTATGACACTCAGAGTGACCCATAGGAGTCCACGTGTGCTCTAAAGACACATTAACTTTTAAAGGACCTTTCTGAAAACAAACATGTAATGTAAGTAAAAGCTGCATCTTAAAAGCATATAATTTCATTAAAGATTAATGAAAGATTAAAACATAACATTTTCTAAAGGCTTTAAAGAATTTCAAATGCAACATAGAACACTACAAAGAATTCACTTGCGTTCACACAGTCAGCCTCTGCTGATCTTAAGCTAGACTTTTTTTATAAAAAGAAAGAACCCACCTAAATGAAAAAGCAATATAATCCAGACAGGAATTGAAACTGCTCTCAAGTAGCGTTCAGTGCTTGCATTCCACTTGAATGAAACAGTCAACACATAGCCAACTACCAACGTCCAGATCTTAAATAAATGAAATATAGACACAGCTGTAAAATTATACATAGGAAAATGAACATACAATTATACAAAATTTGCAAGTGTCTAAGATAGCAGGGGAGTGCTGAACACAGCACAGATAAGATGAACACTGGTTGTGCTAAAAGGAACACTTCTAGGTTCTCGGCCCCTGTTCAGTTAAGTTTTGAAATGAACAGGCTTTTGAAATCTCAGGTAGTGATATTATTTAAACAATTGTCTAACAAAAAATACACAGCTTTAAGATATGCAGAAGTATAAAACTCATTTTATATATACAAATACCACCGACAAAATAATGTATAAACCATGGATTTAAATTAAGATTCTTCACTTGGTAAATTGGCTACCGATGAGAAAAAAAGAAAGAAAAATAAATTAAGAGCCTAATCTTGCAGAATTCCAAAAAGTTTCTCTCTCAATTAATGTTTAGAAAAGAAAAAACAAGAAAGCTTTCCAAAAAAAGAGGTTAAAATTTTTTACTTCAGCCTATAAAGTATGCCTGTTACTGTGAAAGAAAAAAAAAATTTTTTTATAGCCAGAAAGAAGACAACCAGCTGAAGTGTGACCCTGCTGAAATAATCTAGGTAACAGATGGTTAGAACCTAATCCAGAGTTATAACGCATCAGTTGGAGAAATGTGCCTTAAAAAAACATAGCTGGGGGAAAAACAACAAGACTTGAGAACAGAAGAACAGGCCAGGGTCCCCTTCCCGTTCTCCCCAACACTAAAGCTACATGACTTCAGAACTTAAATAGAAACATAAAAAGCAGAGCTTACTCAAACTCATATTTTTATAGAATATTTACAAAACTGTAAGGAATACATAATCCAGAACGAATCTGAGCACAAAGAACTTAGGACCAAGCAGGTAAAATTCAAGTCTGATATAAACTTGCAAAAAAAAAAAAAAGAATTAAGACAAAAGAAACTTTAAGCTATAATTCAGAGGATGAAGGAAAAAAACTAATAAGATTATTATAAAAGACAGAAAAAAACTCTCACATTATCCTGGTCATATCTATCAGTAAAAACAATCTTCAGACCTTAAGACAATTTATAGCTTCTCACCTGAGAACTGAACTTTATCCTCACTAAATAATGATAAACTCTGAAAAAACGTTAAATACATAAAGACCATCAGAGTGTAACTTACGACAGTAAAACGTGATTACCTAAAAAGTCAACAACTGGGCTCGGCGCCTGTGGCTCAACCGGCTAAGGCACCAGCCACAGACACCTAAGGTGGCGGGTTCGAATCCCCAGCCCGGACCCGCCAAACAACAATGACGGCTGCAACCAAAAAATAGCTGGGCATTGTGGTGGGCGCCTGCGGTCCCAGCTACTTGGGAGGCGGAGGCAGGAGACTCGCTTGAGCCCAGGAGTTGGAGGTTGCTGTGAGCTGTAATGCCACGGCACTCTACCCAGGGGGACAGCTTGAGGCTCTGTCTCAAAAAAAAAAAAAAGTCAACAACTGGGAAATGATAAACTATGGATGATTCACACAATGGGATGTATGGATGGAAAAACACTAATCTATTACATCTGTAATCCTAGCACTCTGGGAGGCCCAGGTGGGTGGATTGCTTGAGCTCTTGAGTTCAAAACCAGCCTCAGCAAAAGGGAGACCCTGTCTGTACTAAAAATAGAAAAACTAAAGCAAGAGGATCACTTGACCCCAAGAGTCAGAGGTCACTGAAAGCTATGACGCCACAGCACTCTACCCAGGGCAACAGCTTGAGATTCTGTCTCAAAAAAAAAAAAAAGGAAAAAAAAGAATGTTACACAACCATTAAAATCATTTTTTAAAAAACAAACACTATGTAGTGTAAAAATCCCTAATATCATATTAGGTTAAAAGAAAAATATATATGATGTGATTATGTCTACTGTACAATGGGGGAAAAAGAAAACATATCACGAAGTTGGACTGGGGTGGTTAAGATTTTGTTTTTCCTTTTATTTTCTTCTGCATTTTCCTAATTGCCTTCAATGAGCCCTAATTTTTTCATGATAAAAGCATTAAGATATTCATTTTTTAAAAACTCTACCAGATGAAATATTAAATAAAGAGCTCTGAAGCCCGGAAATACGTGAGGACATGGAAAGTGAGACGACAGCTGCTTCAAAAAAGTTCAGGCTTGTAGGAACAGACAAATTAACCCTGGGAATTCAGAGAATTTGAAAAATGTAGCACTCAGAACAAAATCTGAGAACTACCATAGTACACTTATGTAACACTATGTGCCAGGCCCTGGTGCAATGCTTTATATATATGAAGTCATAGAATCCTCATAATTCCACAAAATGAATACTATCATGATCCCCATTTTACAGATGAAAAGAAACAGACTTCGGAGAAGACAAATGACAAAGCCAGGATTAGGATCCAGGAATGCGGCTCCAGAGTGAGCTTTCTTAGCCATAAGGAGAAAGAAGTGTGTCACTACAGAATTAAAGATAACCACAGCTGCTCTAAGCTTTCACAAGGAAAAATAAAACACAGTTGATTCCGACAACTACAAATCAGTGAAATAAAAACTTACCCTCAATAAATGAATGGTCTTCAGTGGTATGCCACAGAGGAACAAAAATTATTTTTCCTTTATTTATTTATTTTTTGAGACAGAGTTTCTACTCTATCGCCCAGGCTAGAGCTCAGTGGAGGTGGGGAGGCTCAAGTAATCTCCTCCTTAACCTCCCAAGTAGCTGGGACTCCGGGCATGCACCACCATGCCCCGCTAATTTTTTTCTATTGACAGGGTCTCACTCTGGTTCAGGCTGGTCTTGAACTCCTGGCCCCAAGAAATACTTCAGCCTTGGCCTCCCAAACTGCTAGGATTACAGGTGTAAGCCATCTTGCCCAGCCCAGCCTCACCCTATTAAACATTAAGTCAATAACTTTGATAAAAAACCACAGGCATATTAATCAGATTACACAAAACCAGGTAGTCGATAAAAACTGAGAAGACCTACAATGGATTCAAAAAGATCCTTAAACCACAACACTGGGCTAATCTAAGTAAGGTTAAATTTACTAGAGAGAAATGCAAAGTTCTGCTTTTAGTTTCAAAAGTCAAGTACACAAATATGGAATGAGAAGAGGGAACTCTAAGCTACTTTCCAGTTCAGTATGAGTCAGAGTACGGCTGGTATGAGTGTTTATTTATAAAAGAACAATATTCATATCAGAGAAAATGGCTGTTTCAATGAATTTTGCACTAACACACCCCATGAACAACAAAATTCAGCCCAGGAAAGGAAATGAGAATCACAACATAATGAGATATGGATATAGCTGGAGGGCAGCAGGGAGAGATAATAGTTTAACTTAGAAAAGAGAAGGAAATAGATTTCACAGCTATCTTCAAATAAGATTTTAAAAATGTCATCTGGAAGAGGCATAAGACTTAACATTCTGTGGGTCAGAGAGCAGAATTAATAGGTGATAATTAGGAAGCAACATGTATCAACTCAGTATGGAACAAGCTATCGTACCATCACTAAAACTGAGCTAACATCACCCAGCCATGACAGAGTCAGAAAGCCTGCCCTTAGTTAGGTGTATACAGAATTACAGACTCCACATTCTAAGTCCATAATTCTCTTAGACCCATCTCCAAGAAATCTTACTTGTTCTCAATAAATTAGTATCGCTCACAGGGAGAGACCGTGTACCTTAGATTTTTAAAGAGAAACTTATGTTCTAAAAAGAAGCATGTATTTTTATCTAGTAAACCAGAAACTCATAGATTATCTCATTTCAGACTAAAATAACTACTTTTAAAATATATTTCCAATCCACTTTTAGAAATGTTTTACAGAGGCGCTCCACACTGGGCAGATATAAAAATACTCACTGTTGTGGTTTACAATATTGAAAACTGAAAACAATCTAAATGTCATAAAAACAATGGTATCTGCAAAAGGCAAAATAATTATCCAGACTTTCACAGGTATGATGAATATCTATATTCATGACACGATATAAATGCATGCGTATGCATCTGTAAATTTATAATGGGGAAAGATACTCAATGAAAAAAGTTTAAAAATATTATCTCTGGATGGTTGGATTTTAAGGAGTAATTTGCCTCTTTATGGTTTTTTACAATTATTGGAGGGACTGCCTTAGTGGCCTTTACTTTATAAAACTCCTTGTGGCTTATGAATTTTTTCCCAACATTGTGAGGTGCTTCCTCAGAAGACACTCCCAGAACATTAGTAGTTCAAAAAGTATGGCCATTTATAAAAACACGTTAGACTTTATATTAAAACCATCATGACTATGCAGTTATCAGTGGTTAAAAATATTGATCAGAGTATTCAAATACAAATTCAGAGCTAAGATAATCTGTTAGAAATATTTTCTAAAAGACATCTGGAGAAAAAAGAATTTCCAATATAGTAATATTAAAAAGAAAGAAATATCTCTAAGTGCCAAGGAGAAAGATGTCTACACCACAGTGATAAAGAGCAAAGCACAGAATTATATCTTATCCCATCTTTGTTTCAAAAAACAACATTTTTTATGTGAACTTTATATGTTCACACAGGTATTGAAATAAACTTAGAAGACTATATATACCAGGGGTCCTCAAACTTTTTAAACAGGGGGCCAGTCCACTGTCCCTCAGACCACTGGAGGGCTGGACTGCGGGCCCCAGGACAAGTTGCTAAGCAGGATAGGCAGCAGTGGCAAAACACCTGGCGGGCTGGATAAATATCCTCCACGGGCCATAGTTTGAGGATGCCTGATATATACAGTTAACAACAGTCACATCTGTACAGTGGGAACAGAGGCAGAGAAAAGGAACGATTTCACTTTTACTATATAAACTTCTATGCCACTTAAGTTGTTTTTTATATAACAAGCACATTTTACTTGAGTCAACTTTTTTTTTTTTTTTTTGGAGACGGAGCCTCAAGCTATCCCCCTGGGTAGAGTGCCATGGCATCATGCTCACAGCAACCTCCAACTCCTGGGCTCAAGCGAGTCTCCTGCCTCAGCCTCCCAAGTAGCTGGGACCACAGGCGCCCGCCACAATGCCTGGCCATTTTTTGGCTGCAGCCATCATTGTTGTTTGGCGAGACCGGGCTGGGGATTCGAACCCGGCACCCTAGGTGTATGTGGCTGGCACCCCAGCCGCTTGAGCCACAGGCGCCGAGCCGAGTCAACTTTTTAAAATCACTAAATATACTTTAAAATAACTTCATGAAAGTAAGGATTTGTACATTCACATTTCATACATAATATCTAATCTAAGGCCCCTTAAGAGCTTCTTATCATTAAGCCTTCATTAATGCAGAAGCCTGAGATTAACAAGTCAACTTTATACATAACTGGCCACTGAGCAAACCTGCTGTAAGTGTAAATTTTTTTCCAGGCATAATTCAATGAGCCACAGTTATAGATATGAGGGCACACTTTCCCAAATTTATGTTCTTCAAAACAGTAGGTCCTTCTCAAAATATGTATTCCATAATCCTTTTAAAGTACCAATGTGCAAGACACTGCATAAGAATGCATAAAATTTGGCAACATGTACTTAGCACTGCAATTAAAGGGAACTAACAATCATGTTTTCCTTTCATTTGACATGATTACCCACATACTCTTTTCTGGTTAAATACTACTAAGTGAATAAAATGTTAAGTAGAAACTCCACATTTTAGACTGTGTTTTATTTATTGTCCTCTGGGCATTCACTGGCAATATGGCTTGCTTCTACTGCAACATTTTTGCACAGTAGTTTCCCAAGTCTTTTTCAGAGAGAATGAAACGACAGACCTCCTCCCAAATCAGGGTGCCCAAAGACCTCATCAGAACCCCAGGCAGTGACTGCTTCAGGCACTTCATTCTCCTTTAAAACAGCTGACTTTTAATTTGAAAACTGTTCTCTTCATCATACGGCCACTTAGAGTCATAATTTTTATAATCAGAGCCTTTAACTACAAATAAAGAAGAAATAAGCATTGAAAACTTTCCTCTTCACTGCTGCCAGGCAAGTGGAAACACTAGAAATCAATTTAGGAAGGGAATGGAGTCAGCTTTGGCTGACTAATAATGTGCACTTTCGAAGAGCCTCCTGTGATCTGTAAAACAGAACACTGAGGAATCTTAGAAATTACCCAAGCCAACCCCTCATTTCACACAACGTGGATTGGGTGGCCCAGACTGCAGCTCCGATTTGTCCGGTGTCACAGATTGGAGTTTAAAACTTACAGTCTTCTGATTTTTCAACCACTATTCTTTCCTCTACCTTGTGGGTCTTTATAAAGTAGATGGAAACAATGGAATCGGAGACTATGGAGAAAACAAATCTGCTGCACAGACTATAAATGGTCTTCAAATTTTCTAACAAGTGTAAACTAATGGGGAAAGGAAGTTCAGAACACTCCCAGAGACAAAGCGCGAGCCTGTTAGCTTTTCAGATTTACCTTGAACAACTCCACACCACTGTGAGACTCCAAGGCCTCAACCACATGTGAACTTGATTCAACAGAGAATTTTTGTAAGTGTTCTGAAGTCACGAAGTTGGTGCAATATTCTAATATATTTGAAACTGTCGAAAAAGAATTACTCATACCATAAACGTAAGCGGGATATTCTTCAGAATATTGGGAAAAAAATTCAGGGACACTTAGGTAATCCAAAAGTAAGGTGAAGAGGAACTGAACTGTAGGGATGCACTTGTAACATAGAAAAACACACAGAGTGTACCACAAAGGAAAAGTGGACAGGACCTGGAAAAACTGCACAGATATGAGAGAAGGAGAGAGATAACCAAGGTTCCTAGATCCATTTACTGGGGTCAATTTATATTTTTTAAAAAGCTGGACACCATTGAAGGAGAAAACTTAATGGAACTTTAACTGCTAGTAGGTCTACTGAATGCCATTTACAAATAGACCTACAGAATGAACAGATCAATCTCCAAATTAATTTTCTCATATGTGAAATCCCACTCTCCTACATCACAGGATTATTGTTTGACACCCAAACACCCATGAAAGAACCTAATCCAGTGCTTGGCTAAGGGCAGATCCTCAAAAGTAGCATCTTAAACAGCATGAATTTTCAGCTCATCAAAATGTGAACTGGCATTTTGGGATCTCTTGAGACCAGGAATTTAAGACAAGCCTGGGCAGCAGTGAGACCCCACCTCTACAAAAATTTTAAAAATTAGCTGGACATGCTGGCATGCACCTATAGTTCTAGCTATTCAAGAAGCTGTGGCAGAAGTATTTCTTGAGTCCAGTAGTTGGAAGCCACAGAGCTGACTGCAGCACTGTACTCCAGCCCAGGCAGCCTAGTGACAACCTGTCTCAAGTCTCAAAAAAAAAAAAGTCGGAGTTGCTTAAATGTAACTTTTCTCTTTGCCTCTCTCATCTATACCTCTCTTCAGCAGCAGGCTCACATTTACAAGTTGTCTAGAAAGAATAAAGGCCATGTTCTGTAACAGGAAGCCCTGCTTGGGCTCACACAACCAAACTGCTGTGAACTATGAGACAGAAACTACAGAGTAGGCCCCCCTCCCAGTCATGTGACCTGCTTTCACTTTATGTCAGGCCGTAATCAGCACTTTTGGCTGAGAAGAGAGGACTTCCTATCTCTGCTTCCCAGGTATACCTCACTCCCCTCCCACCAAGTGGACCCTAACAGTAAGTGCTGCTTCAGCCCGTTTCTCTCAAAGTCAGGTCCACATGGATGCTCTACTCTTTGAGATTTACCTCTTCTACCACTCCCTACTCACGTCTAATTACCTCGTACTCTTTTACAATGGGTTTGTTGGATTTTATTAACCTCTCCTCTTCTCCCTTGCTCTCAACACTGTAGCCAAATGGTTGACTTTCAAGCCTTTTAAATTTTATTAACTGGCTTACCCTTTCTCCCCCTCCAGTCTAATCAATCTTGGTCCTTCTCTTCCAGTCATCCACAACTCATACAAATAAAATACGAAGAGGCTTCTCTTCAGTAAAAGGATATTCAAATATTCAGACGCAGTAGGCAACAGTCAAAAATGTCAGCAGAATCTATAATAATGTGTCTGACTTTGAGAAGACTGAATTTCTTGAGGATAAGAATTTTATATATATATATTTTTAACAACACACAGCATTCTGCCTTCATTCTAAAAGGTATTCAGTGCACTTAACTGAATTGTGAAACCACGAGGTAAAAGAGAAAGATCACTGAACTGCGCCTCCACAAAAGTGAAACACAGGTTTGTTCATGAGATATATGACTCTGGGACAATCACATTTCCTGCGCATATGACTTATGACTGGTAGGTAATGAACATTTATCTGGGTGTTTGTCATTTCTAACAAAATATGCTCATATAGAATTATATGCACCTTGAAAGAATGGCCTGTATCTTACACCTTTTTTAAATCCTTCACAAAACCCAATACTTACCTAACCCATGCCCAGTCAACTTTCAACTTGAACACAAACCAGTTACCGATACAAGAGAAGACAGGAGTTCTGGGATCAATCATCCCTCTACCAACTACAGCCAACAGGTCAAAACCCTGCTTGACAGATAAGGAGCTATTTTGCAACTTGATGTCAAGGTACAGTGAACTTTACTTCACTAACAAAAGTGGTGAATCAAATTATTTTAAAATGGTACTGTTACTCAACTAGCATTCTCATGCACTAAATAACCACTCGTTTAAATATATGGATAATTAACTGATCCATAATACAGCCTTTGATAATAATTGTGTCACTAGATTATCTTTGGAATCCCTTCCGATTCTAAAGTTCCCTGATTTTCTAACAGTAAGCTCATGCATCACAAATCCACCTCTCCTTCGTTCAGCTGGCTGCTGTCGTCCAGGCAGGAGTTGTGCTGTGGAACAGCAGTCGTTGCACAACACACACTGTATAGCTCCCAAGAAGTACAGGGTGGAGAGGAAGAGGCCCAGGTGCCTCAGCGCCTTGCACAAACTATATTGAAATCACCTGAAATGAGAAGGACTCCCAGCCTGTGAAAAAAGCTTTGTTTTAGGACAAACAGAGAGAACTCTGAATCACCCAGTCCCCTTTGTCTGTGGCCCTAGAGTGATAAGATGTTACCTCTCCTATCTGTAGGATGGCTGTTAAGTTGGGCTAGAATCTCTAAGGTCTCCTCCAGCTGACATGAAGATGTTTAGAACAAGGGGAGGCTGGAACACCCCCCTCCCTCTCCAACCAGAAGTAAGACCAAGCCCCCTTGCCATGCTCTGGGGCTTTCCCTGTAAGGTGGAATAGTGATTCTCAAGCAGGGGCCCTGTCCCAAAATGGGCCTAATAGGATGTGGGCGTAGAGCAGCCAGGGCTGTTTCAAATCACACGCGCTCTCTCTTTGGTAGAAAGTGCGCCAAGTTCCTCCAGTGAGGGAAGAAGACGGAGACCGACGCTCACTGCAGCACAGGTGTGGCTCTCTAGTCGCCCCAGCACGGCTTGGAGGGGATGCAGCAAAGGATAGGGCGTGGCCGCTAGGATCACCGAGGGCCCGGGCCGCCGCTCACTCACCCACAGGCTGCTGAAGTAGTCCAGCCCGCGGCAGATGAGCACGCCGGCATGTGCCAGCAACACCTGCACGCCCAGGTAGCTGCCCAGGCAGTAGAGGCCATAGAGGAGCGGGCCGCCGGCTCCAAGGAGCAGCAGCAAGCGGCGCCGGCGCAGCACCTGCTCGCCCAGGGCCTCGACGCCGTAGTCGAGGAAGCAGAGGGGCAGCAGCAGCGCGGCCAGCACGATGGGCGTGTGCGCGCGGTGCAGGCGCTGCAGCCAGTGGCGGCCCAGGCGCGTCAGCGAGCTCTTGAAGGGGTGCAGGAAGGTGCCGCACAGCACGGCCCACAGCAGCGGCCGCAGAAAGGCCTCCAGGATGAAGTAGACCAGCACCGCGGCGCCGCAACACAGGCACACGAACAGCACGGCCCCCGTGTTGTAAAAGGCCTGCTTGATGGGCTTGTCGAAGCGCAGCGCCAGCGCCGGTGTCCGCGGGGTTTCCCCACCGCTGCTGCCGCCGCCCGGCCCGACAGCGTGCGGGACCCGCCGGGCCTGCCCGGGGGAGCCCCGCGAGCCGGGCGCCTCGGCAGGGACGCCGCCGTCTGCCATCGCGTCCCTGTTGCCGCCGCCGCGAGGCGGTACTGGGAGCCTGGAGAACAGCCGGGACGGGAGGGCGACGCGGCGCGGCGCGCGGCATTGTGGGAGTTGTAGTTCCCAGCTGGCCGCCGAGCGCCTGCGGGACCGGTGGGAAACTACGGCTCCCAAAGAGCACGCCTCCGCCCATGGGCTCCTTCGCCCATTGGTCCTCCAGGGCCCAGGTAGCAAATTTTTGAAGTCTACATCTTCTTGGAGGCAAAAAATAAAAATAAAAAGGTCCCTTCGCTCATTGGTTAATGTCAACCAGTCAGAAGGCGAGATCCCAAACAGGCGCTGCGTTCAGGAATACTGAAAATCCAGGAGCGATTGTAAAAAAACCAATGCCCAGATTCTGTTTTAGTGATTTATCTAATAAATGCTTTTAAGGTGTTTACTCTGGTGTATTTAACAGGGTTTTAGGTAGGGAGAACTATAAAGCTGGTTCTGTTCTAAGAGGTTCGCTGCTATTAATTCATTTAATCCTTAGAACAACCCTACAAAGAGGTGCTATTATTCTCATTTTACAAACAGGAAAACTGAAACAGAGTAGTTAAGTACCTGGCCAGGGTCACACAGCTACCAAGTGACCGAGGCATGATTACAAACTCTGGGAATCTGGCTTCTAAAGACTGTACTCTTATCTACTAGAACTATTGGCATTTTTTTTAAATGTTCAGAGGACTGTAATGTGTGCAGCTGTTGACAATTATCTGTGCAGGTGTCAATGTGGAAACAGTCTAACTCTTGAAAGAGTCCTCGATCAGAGTCTCAAACTACCAGTTTCCTTTGAGACTTGATGTAAAGTCAATTAAGCTTCCAACCTCAATTTCCCTTCTGTCATAAGAGAATGTTATAGAAGCTCTTGCCTCTGGGTTGTTGTGAAAAAAGGAAACTGGGGGCGGTGCCTATGGCTCAAAGGAGTAGGGTGCCAGCCCCATATGCTGGAGGTGGTGTTCAAACCCAGCCCAGCCAAAAACTGCAAAAAAAAAAAAAGGAAACTCTGGGACAACAAGGTACTTTGCTTCTCCTGTTGGAAAAGTCCTGGGATCCAAGCCTGCTACCCATAAAATATTCCAATCAGCATTTTTATTTAAAAAAAATTAAGAAATAAAGCCTTTGTTAAGTACTTAATATATGACGCCTTCAAATCCTGCAAGTTACCTCTTTTTTGTTTCAAGACCTCCTATTAATTTCAGCATAATTTTTGTTTTTGTAGACAAGATAGGTACCATCCACAGTTTTCAGATAAAGAAATCATTGCTGGCTCGGCGCCTATAGCTCAACCGGCTAAGGCGCCAGCCACGTACACCTAAGGTGGCGGTTCGAATCCCCAGCCCGGACCCGCCAAACAACAATGACGGCTGCAACCAAAAAATAGCCGGG